TATTACACTTTTAATTTATATATTTAAGATAAAAATTAAAGTAACACTATATTAATTTTAACATCAAAATTGATACAAGGGAAGGAAGAAAGTTCCATTTTACATGTTAATAGTATTAAAATAAACATCAATTTTTATTTTTTATATAAATTAATTAAAAAAATTATGTTTATTACACTTTTAATTTATATATTTAAGATAAAAATTAGATTACTATTATATTAATTTTAATGTGAAAGTTAATTATAGAAGAGAAAGAAGTTCGTTTGAGCTGTGTAATTCTTTTCTTTCTAAAGATAAAATAAATAAAATTTTAAGTCACTCCTTTCAATCAAAGAGGAGTCGTCCCCAGTGGCAAAAGTGATTGAAAATCTGTTGTACCTATGATTTTGATGATTATAAAACACATTTGAGTGACTAATTGGTTTATTTAAGTGTGTAGTTAAGTTGCTAAAAGATTGCAAGTAAACTTGGATTGCACTAAAAATAGACCAAAATGATTCAAAATGTGCAAAAAGCCGGCTCTTAAAAGTTGCAGCCGGCTCTGGTGAAATGGAAGTGCAGAGAGCCGGCTCTGGAAGCTGCAGCCGGCTCTACAGGCAAAAATTTGAAGACTGTTGTTTGGCGCGCAGGGAGAAAAGACGCAAAGCCGGCTCCAACTTTCTAGCCGGCTGTGAGGGCGCATTTAATGCACAACGATCGACTCTTTTGAAGAGTATTTAATGTATTTAAAATTGGAATTCCAAAGTCGGCTTAAAGTTTTGCAGCCAGCTCTCGAGGAAAACAGAATGGGCTACAAACTCGATAGCCGACTCTGAAAGTGTAAGCCGGTTGTACAGAGCCAACTCTAGGAAGCTAAGCCAGCTCTCCTGACAATCCTACAACTCGAGCTTTGTGTCCTGCAGAGCATTTAATGACCCCCAACGGCTAGAAACGGCTATTTTCGAGCAAGAGGCTATAAATATGGTTGGTAACAGATCTGAAGAGGGTTGGAGAACATTACATTACATATCTTTACCTACCTACTTGAGCTTTAACTTGAGTTTTTGAGCTTTGAGTGATCATTGCTTGTGATCATTGCTTGTAATCCTCTTCTTGTGCTATTAGTGAGTGATCTTGGGGGTGTGTTGATTCCTTCAAGAGTGATCTATTGAGAGGATTTGCGGGGTTTACATTGTAAAGGGGTGAGGTTTGAGAGAAATACTCATCTTGTTGTAAAAGGATTGAGTGGCTCCTTTAAGCCACCCTTGTTTTCCTTAGTGAAGAGTGTGGAGGAAATCCTTGGTGAGTGAAGCCAAGGTAGAGGACTAGGCTCCAAGTGGTTGGACCGAACCTCTATAAATTCATTGTGCAAGCTCTTCTTCTCTACTCTCTTTAATTTTAGTTTTGTGGTTGAAAAAGGGGAGAATTTTTGGAACTCCAATTCACCCCCCTCTTGGAGTACATTGAGTCAACAAAATCCCCTTTAAGTCGTGTGTTCAAGCCGCAGAGGTGACAACTTTAAGGGAAATTTTCCAAAAAATATAAACTGTCCAGTTGAATAGTTTAACGGTTTGTATTGGTCCAAACGGTTTTGTCGATTTTGAAAGGTTCAACCACTGTATCAATTCTAAACCTTGACCTAAGCCATTTATTGTATCGGATGTTGGTCCAACCGATTCAACCAATTGATCCGGTCTGATTTTTAAAACATTGCTAATTAGCAAGAGAAGAGAGGAAAATGTATCCATTGAACTTCGAACTCATATGTCCAAAAGGGTGGTTTTGTCAATTGGTAGAAAACCAACTTTATTTGGGCAAAAACAAACTTTTAGCCCCTCACCTTATCAAGTTTGAAGGTTTTAGCCCCTTACATTATATTATAACACTTTTAGCCCCTCACCTTACTAAATTTATAGGTTTTAGCCCCTCACTTATTAAAATTGAAGAAGATAACCTTTACTTTATACTGATTGTTAACTCTGTTAGTTGATAAAAATCGAGAGTAAATTTTTATCAACTAATAGTCAACTAATAGCTAATTAACAAAATTAACGAAATATTATAAAGTTAGTTCTGTTAACTCTGTTAGCTGAAAGAAGATTTTTGACAGCTAACAGTCAACTAACAATTAGCTAATAGAGTTAACAGTCAGTTAATAAAATTGACAAAATATTACAAAGTGATGGCTATTTTCTTCAATTTTAATAGGTGAGGGACTAAAAGTGTTATATTATAAGGTGATGGGATAAAACTTACAAATCTAGTAAGGTGAGGGGTTAAAAATGTCATAATATAAGATAAGGGGTTAAAACCTTCAAATTTGGCAAGGTGAGGGGCTAAAAGTAGGCTTTTGCCCTTTATTTGTCAGTAGAATATTTAAGACATCTTCGGCCAGCCAAATATATAACTAGTCGTAATTACATTCATTTAAAATTAAGAGGTTATGAATTCAAGTTAATTACA